ATTAAATATAAGGAAAGTTTAGTTCCCCTTTTATTTTTATACTTAAAAAAACAGAAAAAGAAGTCCCAATGTCTTCATCCTGCATCAGTGAATTACTTGGCTGTCCCTGGAGATGCACACACAGCATCATCACCAACCCAGCACACATGCGTGAAGACCAGGGCTGCAGGGAATGACATGATTAAGCCTACTGGTTAAGAGTACCTGTCTCAAAGTTTACATTTGAACTGAATCTCATCTCCACCATTTATTTAGATGCATGACAAGTTTCTAGCATCCCAAAGCCCTTGTTTTCCACTTGTACAAAGGGTGTAATAATAATATTGCATTAAGACAGAATTGTGAAGATTGAACAAGAGGGCCTTAGTTCCATGAAAACTCAGTAGTCCTTTCACCGTGGGTCAGTGACTGCCCTAGGTTGAATCTAGCTAGGCTCTTAAAAGCATGTGCCTCACAACAAAGTCTTATTTCTTTCCCAAATTTTCATTATTTTTATCTTTTTCAAACACTACTAAAATGGCTGAAAAGATAATAAAATGAACATCAATATACTCCTTTAGTAAACATAATAATGGTTAAGGTTTTTTTTTGTTTTGTTTTGTTTGTTTTTAAGAAAGTAAAAGACATAATGATATTTTATCCCTAAATATCTTAGCATGAATCTCCTAAAAGCCAGTTTCCTAGAGCCACAATATCATCATCACACTTAAGGAAATTACCAGCAATTCAATAATATCAACTGCTATCTTTTTTTTATTCAAAATTCCCCGGTTATCTCAAAACTCTCTTAGAGCTGGGTGCCTTCCGCCAAATTCAGGATTCAGTCAGTCTTACATATGACATTTGGTTGGTATGCTTTGGAGTTTCTTTTCATCCAGAACAGTCTTCCTGCCTTTATTGATTTATTTATTTTCTTGAGCTCTTTTGAGGAGTTGAGGGCAGTTGTCTTATGTAATCTCTCATTCACTAGATGCGTCTGATCATTTATTTATTGTGTTAGTTTGTTCCTTTATCCCTAGTATTTCCTGTAAACTAGAATTTAAGTCAGAAATATCATGAGATTCAAGTTAAATATTTGGGTTAAAATTATTTCTTACACTGTCAGATAAAAAAGTGTCTGAATGGTCCTTCTCTATGTTGTTTGATTTTTCTCATCTCTGTTTTTAGCAATCATTCTGCCTTGTCACCTTCCTCCCTGTTTTGTCTAACTGTGCAATTGTATATTGATGGCGCTATCTCCCCATAGAGTGCTTTTCATGGTCCTTTCAATGACCCTAAACTAAAACGTATGCCTCCATTAAAATCAATAGTTGAAACTGTCACAAATCAGAAAACATTCCAAGTAAGTTCTAAAAGAGGGCTCAGATTTTTCCTGTGAGACCGACTATATAGATTTGGATCCAGTTCTGTGGAATAACAGAAACTGTTAATGTTCAGAATCTATCAATAGTGTAGGTGAAAAATTAATATCTATACATTACTCATATACATTACTCATAGAACAGTATCACTCATGTAATAGTGGACGAATGGTAAACACCATTTGCAAGTGTTGGTAAGAGTGAATTCACCCAAGAACAACTCACCTGGGAGTCAGAGAAAAAATTCTGTTATAATTTTATATTTGATTAAAGGTCTCTGTTTCTGTCCGGTTTGTGTTACTAATGAATTAAGGCTCAGTGTTATCATCAATAATCTATTTGTACTAAGAAAACTTGTCAGCTTAATGCTTAGCTCACAGTTCTATGCACTTAAGTTCCAGGAAAACAAAACAGAAAACCAAAACTCAGGTCTGGAGTTTCAGCAAAGCAGTTACATGTGTTATTCAGAAATCAAAAAGTAAGTAGAATGAAAAAATATTTCCAAACCATGTGAGAATTGAAAAACTTTCCTGATACTGAAAAATAAGTGGGCATCATGGAGACCGACTTTAGAATTACAGGCATGTTCTTTCCTGGTGGTTAAGGGCGTGCGTTTGTTCAACTGTCTGCCTCGCCATCACAGTCTGGAGGTGAATTGGCCAGTTTCCGTGCAGAATGTTAAGACAGCATTTACATTTCTCACTGCACCTTGTTATCTCCTTCAACTGCACAGCAAAAACACAGAGCTAAGAAAATGCCAGAGGGAGCACATCCTGTTTATGAAATGTGTCATAGTGTGAGTGATCTGGGGGAGGACTACATACCCATCCCTGCAAGGGGCTCCTCATGTAGTGAAAGCAACTCCCCAACTCCCCCCCAGCCCTGCGGGGATGAAGAACACACATTATGGTGATATTGTCTATGACCATGTAATAGGATGGGACGATTAAGCCTATTATTGCAACTGGTATTTATTGAGCACCTACTATCTGCTGAGATGTGTGAGCAAATCATCCTGGCACTTGCCAGTTTTAGTAGGTGGCACTGACCAGCAACTAAGTTCAGGTTTGGGATTGTTGTCCCTCAACCCTTCCTAAGTACAAAGAGTAAGACAAATTACAAACCTATCGCTCTCATCTGGAAGCATGGAGTCTAAAAGAATTGCCAAAGGAAGCCACACATCAGAGTTTGGAGAGGTCAAGGCCTAAGACCACACAGAAGGTTGAGTCTGAATCTAACTAGAGCCAGAAAATGAGCCTCGAGGAAGACAGTGGTTAAGTTTGACTTAAAGAATGAACACAAGGTTCACAGTTAAATGCTGTAACAACTAAGAGAGATGGAGGTGGAACACTGACACAGGTATTCTTTCTGTGGGTGTCAGCATCTGGCTGAGACCCCCACAGCACACAGGTGAGATTTTTTAGTATGAAATAAGGAGAAAGGAGAATGTGCGTTCTGGTTGTGCTTTGATATGAGACAAGATAAAACTGGCAGTGTTTCAGCCCTAAAGATGGCGATTGTTTTCTGAATTAAATATAAATGTGTAATACCTATTTTTTCCCCCTCAAGAGTTTGTGTTAAAAAAAGAGTGAGAATGAGTGTTCTAGGGGTGATAACCCTTGTTGAAGGTTAGGGACACCAATGTAGACACCCTGCAGAACAAATAAAATGTGAGGGATTTTTTTCCCACATGTTTAATTTTGAAAAACTAAATCAAACCTACTGAAAATTGCATTGTAAGAAAATTGTAAGCTCTCCACCTAGACGAGCCAATTATTAAAATTTTGTCACATTTACTTTTTCTGTCTTTCTCTACACATATGTGTATTGATTACTACATTTATTTATTATTCAACTGTTGTAGAGTAAGTTGTGAAAAGCATACCTCTTTAATTCTAAATATCCCAGTGTGTATCACCTAAGAACACACCGTTCTCCTAAATTACCACAGTGTGATCCTACTGTTGATAAATTTAACTTCACCTATTAGTGAGTCAGTACACAAATTTTGCCCACTATCTCAATCATATCCTTTACGGCCATTATTTTTCTAACCTAGAATTCAATTGAGAATCATGTGTCCTATGTGTCCTATATCATTTCTCTTATTCTTGATCTGAAAGAGTTTCTCAGCCTTTTTAATTCTTCGTGACTGACATTTTAGAGTAATGGCTACCTGCTATTTAGAATGTCTCTTGACTTGGGTTTGTTGGATACACCCTCATGATTACATTCAGGGTGTGAATTTTTGGTTGCGAAGCTATGTGCCTTTCTTGACACCTTTTATCAGGAGATACACAATACCAATTTGTCGTATTTGATCACTCGGTGAAGGTGGAGACTTGCTAAGTTTTTGCACTGTAAAATTACCAATTTAACTTTGTAATTAATAGGTAATCCATGGTTGGTACTTGGCAGTTGTGTAAATAGACTCACCAGATGTTCACCTATCATCTTTTGCATCTGTGTGAGCTTCCTAGAGCCCCTGTAACAAAGTACCACTAAGTAGGTAGTGTAAAATGACAGAAATTGCTCATAGTCCTGGATGTGAGAAGTCTGAAGTTGTGGTATCTTCAGGGTTTGTTCCTTCTGAGGACTGTGAGAAAGGACAGGCCTCTCTTCTTGACTTGTCGATGGCCACCTTCTTTCTGTGTCTCTTCAGGTCATTTTCCCTCTATGTTTGTCTCTGTGACACCAATCATACTGAATTGGAGCCTCTTCCAGTGACCTGTCACTTCTGTAAAGACCTAATCTCAAAATAAGGTCATATTCTGAGGTACTATGGATAATGACTTCAAAAATATGGATTTATGGGGATAAAATACAACTCATAACTGGTGCATTTTGCTCATGAGTGGACTGTCCCAATGTTTGCATAGACAGAATAGGAAATCAGGACTCTTATGCATGAACTTAGATTTCATTATGGAGCCAAGATGGTATTGACTCCCTTGCTTACCCTCCCCACAGGTTAGAAATCAGTGCTCAGCCTTTACTCTCCAAAGCACTGAGACTGAGCTTCTCCTGCCTCTGTCCTCAGGGCTGTGCATCGTACACTCACTTGTACTTCGAGTGACTCTTCTCTTGCAGTGCTGAAGATTTTGAAGTGGGTTTGGTTTAGGGCTCACCATCCAAGTGCTTGCTGTATGAGTTTGTTGATCGTACTAGAGCAGAGGTTACTAGCAGCTGAATTAGTGACAATATTTATTCCTTGCAGAAACAAGTAGTCTGTTGGGGGAAATGTTTTATTTCTCAATGCATTGTTTTGGAGCATTTCTCTGGCATTCAGGCAAATGAATTTGAAAGCACACACTTAGGAGGTTTGCAGTAGGGACTCTCAGCAGGAGACACTTCCTTAGTTTTTAATTCAAAGGATGGAAGGACAGAGAAAAGGGAAAACAGTGAGCCAATTACCTGAACACTCTGCCAGAAGCTAGAGAAAGATGCAGGAGGGGGTGTTGGAGGGTGGTGCTTTCCTGGGCAATGAACACTGTGGTAGCAAGATGTCTTTCTCTTCAAAATGATAGTCTGTGTCCTTCCCATCCCAGATCTGTAACATTCATCTCCGTTATGTCCTTGTGTAGAAGTGGGTGAAGTCTGAGGGGGTTGCTCACTTGCTTTCCTTGATTTCTTGATCAGGTCACAGACATAAAAGAGAAATTGAAGCTTTCTAAAAAGGTCTGGTCGGCATTACCCTACACCATCTGCAAGGATGAACGTGTGACAGCGGGCACATCCAACGAGGAGGATTGCTGGAATGGGCACAGCAAAGCCAGGTGAGCTGCCTCCACGTGCAGACGGGGCACAGTACACCCAGCCCTGCAAGTCTCCCCAGCACAACTCTGTAGACCTGTTTGTGCAAAAAGCAACAAAGGGTGGAGGAACAGGGCAGCATCACTCAGTAACAGCTGTTGAGTGACAGGCCTGAGGCACCTGAGAAAAGTTACTCTTAAGCATGGGATCCTTGTTCTGAATGCCTTGCTTCTGGATGAGGACAGAGGGATGGTGACAGAAGCCAACTTACACATAGCCTGAGATCACAAAGAGCCCTTTTATGTTCACTTAATGACTTTAAGATAGCAGAGCTATTTTTATCCAGAGTTAAATTCGCAAGGCTCTTTTTACTTTTTTCTTTTTTGTAATCACTAGTTAAATAAAAAATGGCAATTCAACTGTAGATTTTCCCCCTTGGAGAAAAAAAAATTGAAGTGTTCATTGAGAAGATAAAAGAAGATGGCTAAAGACCACAGGGGAAAGGACCTCATGGGCCCCAGGCCTTGGGAGGTCCTACCAGAAACTCTGGACAAGAGATGGCTCTGATGTCATCTTCCTGCAATGCCCTTTGATAAAAAAAAAAAAAGTTGTGAATGTGTTGCTTCAGCTCAGAAATGAACTTGGTCTGGATTTGGATGGGGTGGAGGAGTCGGATGGGGAGTCTGGCTGTGAGTTGGCAGGCGGGGCAGGATATAAGGAGAGGGATCTACCAGAGCCCTCATCAGTGGGGCTGCAGGTGGGTGCAGCAGCTGGTAAATTGGCTCAAGGAATCTTTGAGGACTGACCAGCAGGTGGAGAAGCTAAAAGGGGAGTCTGTTCTGGGGTCTTACTGCTTCAATGGGAACAAGAAGTTGTGTGAATAGTAAGTTCAGAAGAATCCACAGAAGGTAAGCAGAAATTGCAAAAGAGGTGTACATTAGGTGTTATTTCTTACACTGCTGCATTGCAGTTTTTAGCATGCATTGGTATGATATTACTAATCACATCAAGAAGAGCCTAGCAAGGGGAAACCAAGAAAGAGCTGTGACCATTTCAAGTTGTCCAAGATACCAATGTTCAAATCTTAGATCATGAGAGTAGAGAACAGAAGGATATTCATGATATTAACAACATGCCACTTAAAAATACTTCGTGTTTTATAGTCTCTGGCCTTTTAGGAAGGAAACCTTTGGGCACCAAATTCAGTACTGAATGAACAGCTTTGAAAGTTTCTGTTCCCAATGACTCTACAGAAAGATACTGGAAAGGAGGAGTAGGTGACCTAATGCATAAGTGCTTGACTTTATGAGCTGCTCTGTCACCTGCTATGTCTACTTTTCAGCTCAGGCTCCAGGGAACCCATGGGCAGTCACACAGGTTGTTGAATATTAGCACATATGTGACTGCTTACAAAAGGAAATATGAAGAATGGGTCATGATTGCAGGTAGGAAAAGCAACTAAACTCCACCAAGAAACGAATGGGAACAGAAAGACCACTGAAGTAAGAGCTACAAGGAAGGGGTAGGGGCTGAAGTTCTAGAGAGCCTGGCTAGCAAGTGTGAGGCCATGAGTTCAAACGCAATACTAGAAATAAATAAATAATAAAAACAAAAACAAGAGCTACTGCAGGTCAGAATTGCTATCCAAGTTCCTCATTGGGGAAATGAGGCAAGACAGGTGAGAGTCCATGGACACCCAGCTAACAAGGCTGAAAGCTGAAAATGTCTCACCTGTTAGCCTGGTAGTCGTCTTTCCCCCTCCCCACCCTCTTGGTGGTACTAGGGTTTGAACTCAAGACCTCATGCTTGCTAGGCAGGGACTTTATCATTTGAGGCACACTCTCAGCCCTTTTTGCTTTTAGGTATTTTTCAAATAGCGTCTTAGGTTTGTGCCCTAGTCCACCTGGACTGCGATCCTCCTATTTATGCTTCCTGAATAGCTGGAGTGATAGGCATGCGCCACCAGGCCCAGCTTTTGTTGATTGGGGTGGGGTCTCACAAACTTTTTGCCTAGGCTGGCCTCAAACTGCAATGTTCCCAATCTCTGCCTTCCCTGTCCTCGAGTAGTTAGGATTATAGGCATGAGCCACCATGTCTGTCCTAGCCCAGTGTTCTTTTGACAGCAGTACCTTCCCCCTTCAACATGTAACAGCTGAATACTACCCTGGCCAAGTTAAGAGAACAAACGAAATGGATTCTCAAGTCTATAAAAGATTGAGGGGGTCTGCACTGTTCATTCCGTCCCTATGCCATTAGCAGTATATTATTTAGAATACAATAAAGTATTGTGTATACTTATACAATAAGTATATTGTTTTGACAATTGAATATATTGTCAAATATTCGTGACTCAAATTATGCTCCCATTGAAAAAAATTACAATTCCAGGTAATTTCCTTTTTTTTTTTAATTCTTCCACTGGAAGAATATTACAACTTTATTTTCACTAGCATAGTAAATAAATAATACAGACTTGTTGAATTAGATTTAACTGAAGTTTTGTTTCATCCAAATGTTAATTGATCTAGAATCACACAAGACATTTTTCACTTAATGAAATTCTACTAAACTATTTTGAAAGTTGAAGAATCCATTTGATGGGGAGAGCTTAATCAGTGGGTACTAAGTTATGGAGAGGAGAAGTAAGTTCTGGTGTGCTATTGCACGGGAGGTGACTGTAGCCAGTGATGCTGTACTGTATATTTCAAAAAAACTAGAAGAAAGGATTTTGAATGTTTTTACCACAAAGAAATGATAAATCTTTGAGAAGATAGATAAGCTTACCCTATATTAAACATTACAGACTATATAGCTATATAAAAATATCAAGAGATCCCATAAATATGTACAATTTTATATGTCAATTAACATTAATCAACACAATAACTAAGTCCATTTGTAATTTAGACAATAACATTCCCCCACTTTAAAGTATGGATTGTAAGTAGATAGGCATTTTTAAATGTTTATGAATGGTGTAAAACAAAGTAAAAAAGGAGAAACAAAGGTTATTCTTATCAAGTATGTGAAGTAAAAGAACTAGAAACTTCATATAGTTTAAAAATATATCAACATGTGTTCATGGATACGGAACACAGTTATCTGTTAGGATTGAAAGGGTGTGGTGGTCTGGAGTTTATAAACCAAAGCCTTTTTGCTGAAGTCTCTGATAAGCCAGATAGATTCTTCTCTCCTACATTCTATCCATCAGACTCCTTCAGACACATTCTTCTGTTTGCACCCATTCTGGCAGCCCTTTTGTCCTAAGTATTTGATTAGGCTTCTCTCCCACCACCCACATTGCTCCCAATTCTTTTCTGATTGCTCCTGCATAGTTCTCGACATCCTTGATTCTGAAATATACTTATTTCAGATTTTAACATTTCTGAAATCAAAATGACTCCAGTGAATATGTTCATTTACTCCAGTGATTATCTTACTTTCCTAAAAGCTGTTATTAAAATAATGGTACCTGTTGAAATGATAAAATAGAACAAAGTATGCATACACACAGTTGCTTTGGGCAGCCACAGATGCAATCTGCAGTGTTTGAGACTGTGATCCAGGGTGTATGAGCAGTGGCTGTCCTAGGATACGAACCCACTTCCATTCTACCACTACACACATCTCTGACAAATCTCACTCTGCTCTGGTGCGAAACAAATCTGGCAGCAGAAGGTGGGGTAGGAGGAGACTGCCTTTCGATGAATTGCAGCTGTGCCCGATGGTCCTATCAGCATTTAAATCTTCATTCTGACACTGAGAAAATGTGGTCAAAAGAACTTCTTCCCTGCTTCCTCTTCCTTTGCCAACTTCCTAGAACAATGTGAAGATTGTTGGGATGTCTATGAAAAGAGTTTGTAAATGCTACTCAAGCTTTGATGTGCCAGCTAAACTCTTGGTAAAAATGCAGATTCTGATTCAGTAAGTGTTGTGATCTGAATTTTGTTCCCCTTCAAAACACATGTTGAAATCCTAAGCTCCAGTATAATATAGTTGCACTCTCTCTCGATTTCTCTCTCTCTCTCTCTCTCTCTCTCTCTCTCGCTCTCTTTCTCTTTCTCTTTCCTCTTCTTTCTTCTCTCTCTTGCTGTTCTTTTTCCTGTATCTCTCTTCCTCTCTCTCTGCTATGTGAGGACAGAGTAAGAAGGCAGCCTCTGTAAGCCAGGAAGAGACACCCCAGATACAGAATCTTTCAGCACCTTGATCTTGGATGACCCAGGCCCCTAGAACTGTGATAAATAAGTGTTTAAGCTATCAGCCTACAGTTTTTGTTTTTTGGTTTTTTGTCATACACGTCTGAGCTAACTAAGACAGTGAGTCTGAGGTAGGACCTTAGTGAGGCTCTGCATTACTAACAAGCTCCCTGGGGATGCAGCTAATGCTGGTCCAGGGACCAAACTTTGAGTAGCAAGGTTCTCAGGTAGGACTACTAGAACTAGTACATAAAAATACCAGACAACAAATGGAACACACTTCTACTAAAAAGAAGCCTGAAATTCAGATAGAACTGGCAGTCCTGTGTTTTACCTGTCAGCACCTATTAATCTGTAAGATATTCCCTTCTCAGTTGACATACCAGCCTCAGGGAGCATATCACAGGTTCTTGTTTTCTTTTTGCCTTCACTGATACCTTTGATGGTTCCTTTAATGGGGCTTTCTTACGTTAAAGACAACAGGAGCAATATAGACAGGAGGTCACATCGTTCAAGTGTAATGTTACCCACCAAGGATAGGTAAGGTCGAAATCATCTTGACAATGAATTACTGAATCTTCGCAATGGGTCAGGATGGAATTTTCCGTTGGAAATACAGCACAGCCACCATGATGCAGGACATAGTCCCGGACAAACCTCAAGTCTCCAATGGTGGATTGCAATGACTGGTGAGAACAAATACTTTGAATCCTGAGTCCTTGGTCAGAATTTGATTCAATGAGTATCTTAGTCAACTCAGAGTGCTATCATAAAATACCATAGGTACCAGCAGGGTTGAGTGCTGGTGAGGGCTTCTTCCTGAACAT